TTCTTTTGATTTCCAGAGACACGAGAGGAGAGCGAGGCCCCACATTTATTACGAAGAAGATTAAAAATCCAGCGGCATTATGGGATTTTCCCAGAGAGATACTGGTTTGAGACTGGAAATCCGACCATCGTAGATGTTTTATGACATTTCTGATGATGTTTACAGCGTTAACTTACCTTGAAACATCATCTAACTGCTGAGCTTACAGCAGCAGATTCTAACTCAACGGCCACCTTCGGATCAAACTTCACATCTTTATCCTGAAAATAAATCCTAACAAGTATTCCAGTCCAACGATACGTCTAGGTCTCAATAATCTGCACTTTAAAGACGGTTCTAGAACAAGGTGGCTTCCTTTCGGTTTGCTGCCAGTAAACGCATCACTTTCAGATTTCACTCCAGCGTTGACCTTAAAGAGACGCTAACCAGCAGGTGGATGAGGTTTATTTATGATGGAGAGTGGGAGGGATGAAGAGGAGTATGTTCTCATGGAGGAGATGAAGGTCACTCGGTTAATGGAGCTGTTTGTGATGAGTGGCTTGTTGCTTTTGACCCATAAGTAGAAAATAATGATCAGATGTGATGTTTACTAGAGCAACAAGTCAGCTTGGTTTGGTTTTTTAATCATTAATGTGATGTTGTTCTGTAGTACGTGAAGTCAAAATAATCTACTTTATTGTTCCGTAAAAACAAAACAACAGAATCATCTATAGAGGAGAACGTAATTACAATCACATACATTTGATGATTGATTAAGAATAAAGGACAACATTATAAAATCATTGTTAACTTTGAACAACGAACAAGTTAAATTCAGAGTAAAATGGTTCCTTAAATAGAAATTATGTCAAGAAATGTTTTTTTAATAAAACATGATTTAATTACCTCATTTCCAAGTAAAAGGAGCCGTTTGTGAGGTTGATGCGGTGAAATAAATGATCTAAAACTAAGTCTCACTTCTCAATCATGCTGGAAGGAAGATTACACTGAAAAATGTTGTCGGTTTTTCTCCTAACAAATAAATAAATAAATTAATTAAAATACTAAACAAAACAAAAAAAAGAGACAAAATCAACAGAGGGACAAAGTTACTGTTTACAATCAGTGAGTTTGTGATGTGTTCATGTGTTTGGCGAGCTAACGCTGCACCGACAAGCAAAAAGACCCGGAGCTGTTTAAAGAACTGAAGCCAGTAAACAGGAGCGACCCAGAAGTTACTTCTCGTACTCCTAAGAAGCCACGACATCTTTATGTTTTATTCTAAAACCACCTTTGGCTCCTCAGGCATGAACCAAACAAACCCACGACGATGTGAGGCTGGCCTCAGGAAACCAACGACCTTTTACACCAACTCACCAAAAATCAGCCCTGTGACCACGTCTGCTACCGGCTCAGAGAGGAAATAGCTGCAGGTCAGCGTCCGTCCCTCATATCCACGCCGGATGTCTGACCCAACTTTAGTTATTGTAATGTGTATAAAAAAGGACTTGAGTCATCCCACACCTGTCCTGTTTCTGGCTCGTCCAATGCTATCACTCTGGTATTTAAAATTAGCTGGCTTTGCTACATTTGCTGTCCTCAACACACCGAAGTATCCAGAATGTTATTAGGTTAGAACATTTGAGTCAGCTGAAGTCCATCACTGTTCCTGTTTAGGCTGGTCACCAAAGGGTTAGTTAGTACAGGAGAAGCCACGCACATACAGCTGAGATGTGACTGAACGGCTCCTGAGATGGACCCACAGATCTTCTCCTTCTGATTCAGTCCAAGTCACAACTGATCAGAGTTAGACATCGTCGTGGACTCCCCGCCATGCGGCCATCTGTTAGTCATCGTGTCTGGCAGGTGAGCAGCTGGTTTCCCTTTGAACTCCAGTGTCAGGTTCCTTCAGTCCAAAAAGTCCAGAAAGAGCTGATGATCTGGACCGTGGAAACATTTTTCCATTTGTTCCCATTGTTAGCCTCCTTACTCGGGAATCCCGATGCCTGGTTTGGAGCATTTAGCCTAAAAACGAACACGTTACTTCCTGTTTCTGATCCTAGTTGGACTTGATACACACACCACCATGACATTTACAGAATATATTATCAGATTTAAAAAGTAAATGAATTCAAACATGCCATCGAACACTGAGGGGTTTATCCGGTACTCTAAACTCTTGGATGTCTGCTGTCCTGAAACCAGTCCTGCATCACAGAGGATAGTGTCATGCTGCCCCGTGACACCAAATGTGAGCCAGACGACGCCAGGAGAGGCTTGGAAACTGTTTCAAAAGCATTTTCACTCGTGACAAAAAAAGAAATGCTACATTCACATCAAGAGACCAGAATAAATGCTGTCCTCACCTGTCTCCACGCGTTTCCTGCATCAGAGGTGATGAACACGCTGACGTTACCAGAGGTCAGCTCTGAGCCGATGGAGCCTGCAGGAGAGTGGAAGTAAACGTGACGTAAGGTGGCGTGGAGTAGAAACAGGAAATAAAGTGGGCATCAGGTTAAATCCAACTTTTATTCACAACCCTTGATGCTACAGCGGTGGTGGTGGTGGTGGTGGTGGTGGTGGGGGGGGGGGGTCTGCACAGCAGCTGCCGACCACCGCTCTAATCGTAGTGCTTCCACAGATCCACGGTGCCACGTGACATTTGCCCACACTCCAGAATCAACCAATAACTCCTGATTACCGCGGTCCTGACCACATTAAGACACGCGTTTCTAATCCAGAGCTAAAGCTGTAATTGTCTTGATTCAGACTGCGGTTGGTTCCAGGTGGCAGATTGTCCCCCCATCCCAACCCTCCTCCAGGAACACTCCCTCACACGCAACAGCTGAAGTCACAACTTAGATCAACGTTTTAGAGCCCATGGAGGGTCTTCGTCAGAGGTTAAGCATTTAATCATCGCTCTTAAATTAAAGTTTTGTGAAATGATTAAAATTCAAAAACCCAAAGGAAGAGTGTGTTTCTGCACAAAGGCAGACAGAAATTTCTATTTACAATAAACTAATCACATTTCATGATGCAAGCTGCAAGCGTTCCTTCATTATGGGATGTTTACAGGCGTAGACTCTCATTTATCTGTTAGCGTGTAGAAAGGATGAATAAAAAACAAAAATAAGGAGTTTTCATCCCTCTGTTGACTCCAGTAGCCGCAATAAAGCCTGAAATTAAATCAAATCAGTAAATTATTTCCCTGAAAGATGATTAATTCAGTGTCTAAGGGAGATTAGCGACATGTTGATCATGTCCATCAGCTGATGCCTGCGGTGTGTTGATGAGTTAGTGACAGCGCGGGTTCATGTGGGAGACGCAGGAGTCACATTTATCTGGTTTTAAAGGTTCTGATTCAGAAAGGACCCACATTCAGGTTTGAATGTGGCAGAGGGTTGATTCTTTTGATGCTGTGACTTTTAGCTGAGCCGTTTTTCTTCCATTCAGAGGACACCCCAGGACAACCGGAGCAATGAGTTGCTTCTCGTTTCTTAAATAACCATAACCAACGGTGGTGGCAAACCAAAAGAGGACAGCCGGGCAGTTACCCCCAGACTGAAGCATTACTAAAGCAGATCCCAGGAAAAACAGACATCTCAGTCCAGAAAAGTGCCGTTCACAGAACCCTCACGATCCCAGGCCTCTGGTAAGGACCCGAGCCTGGAAGGATGAGACCTCCCGCGGAGGTTCAGATGGGAATTTTATATAAATTACATTTTAGCTTAGAAAATTCTATGTATTTCAACTGAGGTTGTTTAGGAAGCCGTCTACATTGAGGTGAGGAATTATAATTTAGTAATTTCACATGGAAACACACTTGAATGAACTTACATCTTGATTCCCTGAAACAATATTTAACCCGTAGTGTATTTATTTGCAAAGACAGATGTGGTTTAGTGAATAATTGTGGTTATGCTAATGCAGTTTATCTAAACCTGTGTTTTTTGGGGTAATTATGAAAAACTATTAGAACAATTGCTGTACTCCATTCAATAATGTTGTACATTTTATGTTGTTGGCACATTTTATTGCACCATTGACTTCCATGTAAATCAGTTTTTTCTAATAAATCAAAATATCAGCATATTTTATTATTATTATTATTCTGTCTGGGTTCCCAGGCCAGTTACAGACTCATTTTTGAGTTTTTAATGTTTTCCACTAGATTGCACATTGTCCCTATTAATACCGAGGCAATAACTAACGCTACATTCAAATTAAAACCTTTTACTAACCCTTTGATGCATAATAGTCACTACAGTGGACAGGTACTCAAAATTGTTATTTATTTGTTTTTGCTATTAAGCACAGCTGTTGAAGACTTTATTGCATTTGAGTCCCTCCATTTGGACTTCAGTAAGCCAAGCCAACAGATGTCATGTTCAGAATGTATGCTGTCCACTGAGGTGGACATGTAATAAATTATTTGTAAATTACATTTTACAAAAAATATGTAAATATGAAATTTGTTTCATTCACACCTAAAGATGAATGAAAAAAATTGTTAAAAAAAATCATGGTTGAAGATTTCATAATTCATGCATCAAAGGGTTAAAATATTTTTATGCCCATGTGTTGAAAAGTCGCCCACAAAACGAATCATCTGGGCAAAACACTCAGAATTGTTTTTATATTTTCATTTGTTTACATTTCTGGATATAATCATACACCTGACAACAACGGGGGATAAAAGGGTTAAATATTAGCAACAAATAAATATTTTATTATATTTTGTAAGGACTGAAGCCAACGACAAAATTCATGTAAAAATTGGGAGTTATGAAATATTAAATGAGGTGTCTGCATTTTTATGTGCACTAAAATTAAAATTGTGACTTCTTTAGAAAATTTGAAATTACACAAAAACTATAAAGTGAGCAAAATACATTTTTGTGCCTATTTGTGACACGCCACGCCTGTGACAGTCTAACCCCAAACCCGTCATCTGAACATAAAACACAAAATGAAAACATTTGAAGTTTATTTTTATTTTTATTTTTTACATTTTTTCACAGTTCTGGTATTGGCAATAAAGTGGTTTAATCTCAGCAACACACACACGTTTTATCATATTTAGTTAAGGCTGAAGCCAAGGATGATACTCTTGCTAAAAAGTGGGACATAGTGGGACATACATAATTGTATAATAATTCTATGGGAAGTTTTGTACGTGCATTTTTTTGTGCTCAAACACCAGAAACAACGCAAAAATAAAAAGAAATAAGTAAGAAATGAGAAAAACTTTAAAAACAAAAAAGTAAGAAACAAAAATTTAAACCAAGACAAAAGATCCTATTGTACAAAAAACATTAAATGGCTCAAATGTGACATTTTCAGGTATTTTAGCGAGTTTCCTTTACAGGGTTAAAACATGTTTTTCAGCCATCCCGCTAAAGCAGAAGTGTTTTTATTACCTCAAAGGTTTGTTTTTGACAGATGAGCTCTAGAACAGAGAAACAGGATCTCCTCACACCCACCTGATGCCACAATGATTCCCGGCGCCGACTCCCTGCTGGCTATGTTTCCAGATGTGTAGGGATTTGCAGACACATGGAGATGGAGATGTAACGAGCAGTACGGCTACAGAGGGAGAAGTCAAAAACTCAATTAGCAGAGCGTTGAGCGTGAGCCAACAGAAGCGCATCCCTCCCAACTCATAAGTCCAATCACAAACACCGTCCCCCGTTGGCCGGCCTCAGCATTAATTGTGATTGGGTTAACCTTTACCAACACCATTCTCATTACACGGCAGCAAAATGCCAGCGGTGCGTGCCGCATTGACAGGCTGTTCGCAGGTTTATTAAAACTCTGGCATTTCCTGACAAATGACTGTATAATCCGGTGGAGAAGGCAAAAAATGCCACAGAATATCTGATTCATTTATCAGAAACAGATTATTTGTGGAGGTACAGAAGTGTTGGGATGAGACGCCGATACGAGCGGCAGCTTAACATTCCCAAACACAGTCGGATTGTTTACTTGGAACGTTGAACTTTAGCTTATGAATGAAACATCAGGCAAACTATGAAATGCCCCCCAACTTTCAGGGCTCTGAGGAAGACAGACAGCTTCTCCATCTGACACCTCTTTCTTCTGGAGTTTCTTAAATGGGAGGTCAGCTTATTGGACTGAATCGGAGCGGCTGACCTTTCAGCTCTGCAGCCTCGGAGCAGTCAGCTTTGACGGCCGGCGCTCTTCCTGAGCGCGGCCTCTCGTTGCTGCCGAGATCAGTCGACTCCTGTCAAGGCTCCTCTTTGATGGACGCACACACACATGAAAACCTGTGTGACGTGGACGCTCACCAGCACGCAGTGAATGCTGTTGCCCCTCAGGTCCTTGCTTGGGGCCTGTAGCAACCTCCAGTCTCTGCCTCGGTTGTAAGTGATGTACGTCTTGACTTGGTTATCCGTCTTCTTGTTGGCAAGGAACATCCCTTTTATTCCCGCTACCTGGGGAAGTTACACAGGAAGAAGCTTCTAGTGAAAGGAACAGCAGAAAACTTGACCTTGGTCACACTTTAAGGTCTTTGGAAGAAAAGAAAGTCAGGACGCTGCAAAGTAAAGCACTCAGCTCAGGGAGATTCAAGCACAGACGCAGACCTGTTCTATATTCCCAACAAAACCAAACATGGCGACCAAGCCTGAGTGGAAAATGATCGACTGTCTGGAGACCTGTGGGTAATCAATGTGTGTCTTAAATGAATCTGACTGTTTGCTGGCGGCCTGCGGCGCAGCACAGGGATGCTGGATGGAGCTGCTGACAGTTGCATCAGGTGACGAAACCTCACATTAGTAACTGACAGAAACTTCAGACTCGCTGGAAGGAGCGGTTTAGCATATCCTACGTCTTGGGTGGTGACCCCAATCAAAACGGAGGATTTGCTTTCTTCTGTCCGGCTGCAGCAGGACATGAGCTGCATCGACACCGACTTAGTTATTAGATTCAGAGATAAAGATTCATATTAGGTGGTCGTATGTTTATAAAAACCATGAGCTTCAGCATCAGCAGCCAAAAAAAAAAGTCTATTTTTCGGTGTAATCAAGGAAAGAAATCATTTTAGCTTCAGAGAAAAATAAATCAAAACAAAACACGTCTATTCCAGGAAGATTTCCCCTTCGGTTGTGCTAATGCGAGCCTTTAAGGATACTTGTTAGAAAGATTCTTTTCACAAATCTGAAAATAACAAGCTCTTTATCATCTTCGCTTTGTAGTAAAGAACTGATCAAAGTTCAGATTAAACATGCAGGAAATGTCCGTGTGCACGTATTCATCAGATGAAAGTGAAAGAAATGCTCGGAAAGAGAATTGATGATAACTAAAAACCAGAACCAAAGCAGAAAAAAGCCTTTTTATCTGGGTTCGTTTACCTCGTAGAGGTCGACCATGACGTTCCCCTCGAGGCCCATGCTGCTGACCACGTTCTCCAGAGCCAGCGTGTAGAAGACCCCCGATGTGTCCGACACGTACAGGTTGTAGGTTTCGTTCTGGTTCCACTCCTGAACAGCAGCAACCACACGGTTCTCATCGGTGCTGATCACATGTAGCTCCTGCAACAAGAGGTGAACTCAATGAACTTCGTAAAAGCAAAATACTTTTACAAGCTTTATTGCTCATTAGATTTAGAAAATATGTTAGCTTAAAACAGTTCTTCTTAATGCTCTTAAAGTTCTGGCAAACAGTTGTACAGTAGAAATATTCTGGGGATAAAAACAAATAAATAATTAAGTGGTCCTCTTGTGTTTGTCTGAAAACATCCGCCAAGAACACGGCTAGGACCGAAAACAACCACCGGACAACCCGCCGCTCTTCCCTGGGTCCTCCATTCATTACATACTTGCACATTCAGCAACAGTGGTGTGAGAGGTTCTCCGCCCCATAACATCAGAGAAGGAGAAACAGCCGGCTGCTACCACTTCAACTTCAGAGCAAACTACCAGCGTCTCAAAAAGAAAACCACCATTTGAAGTCACAGACAATAACAGATTTTTGGACTTGTAAAATAGCAGATTAGCTCAATCCCGTTTCTTCTGGCAGCATGGTTTTCCAGTTCCAGTGGACATGGAGCCAGTGAAGATACCCAAGGGGTGGTGGTGGGGAGTGTACCGTTAGCTTGGTCGCCGAATCGCTACAGCAACTATAAAATATATTTTTTCTAATCTTTATTTAGCCCAATTTAAAGAACTTGGTGTTTCTTTGCTATAACAAACATTTTTGGTAATACATCTAGCATCATCAGAACACCTAATGAGTCACCTTTACTACAAGGTAGAACTTCTGAAATAGGGTGAAGGTGGCACAGGAGTCAAGTGCTCGCCTTGTGATAAGAAGGTTGCAGGTTCGAGCCCCGCTCAGTCTGTCGCTGTTGTTGTGTCCTTGGGCAAGACACTTAACCCACCTTGCCTGCTAGTGGTGGTCGGAGGGACCGGTGGCGCCTGTATACGACAGACTCGCCTCTGCCAGTGCGCCCCAGGGCAGCTGTGGCTAGGATGTAGCTCATCATCACCAGGGTGTGAATGTGTGTGTGAATGGGTGAATGACTGATTGTGATGTGAAGCGCCTTGGGGGGTCGCAGGACTCTAGAAGGCACTATATCAAATACAGGCCATTTACCATTCCATCAGTGGAACAAATCAACACAAATGAATATGTGAGCAAAATGATTCCATAATCCCCCGGATTATTCTCCTGATTGGAACTTCTGGGTGGATTAGACCAGTGTTTCCCAACCCTGGTCCTCAGGGCACACTGACCTGCTAGTTTTCCATGTCTACACTATAACGGAATGAAATGACTGTTTTCCACCTAAAAGTCATTTTTCCCGTCTCCTCTGACACAGAACTAATCTGCATGAGATATGTTCTCAAGGTCTCATGCATTTGCTCTAAACTGCTTCCAAAGGGATTATGCGAGGCTGTTGAAACCATGTACTGTTCTTCGGAGTGGGGTTCGTACCTCACCACTTTTGGCCTCTTCCTGGGGAACTGCACTTTCCCCTATCGTTGGAGTTCCTTTAGGACTCTGGTCTGTTCAACGCCAGGTGGTCTCTGTACGGACCACCGTACCATTGAAAAGGGGGGATATGTAACGGACTGAAATGACTGTTTTCCACCTAAAAGTCATTTTTCCCCTCTCCTCTGACACAGAACTAATCTGCATGAGATATGGCCTCAAGGTCTCATGCATTTGCTCTAAACTGCTTCCTTTCCAGCCCAAGAGAAGAATGAAGAATGGACTCTCTCCTTTTAATAAATCAAAGAACTCTATTTTAATAAGCTAATCAAACAAAGTGTTAGTCAATAATAAGATGTGACCAATCTGTGAAATCAAAGTAGTAATGACTTTATTATAATCCTATAGAATATAATAAATAATTTGACTTTAAGTGTTCCACTAGGACTGATCTCACGTAGCGTTAAAAGACATGACACACTGCTTTTACTGATCCAATCAGAATCTGCCAGATCTGACGGAGGCGTGGTTTTGGTGGTGTTTGGTAAATCTGTCATCTTTTCATTCGACCATAAACCAAAACATCCAAAGTATAAAACTATGCCCACGTCATCTTTAACGCCAGTTCAAAGCGTTCTAGAGAAGTTGTCAGAGCGGCCAATCCGTAACGTTCCTCTTCAGCCGAAAGAACCAACGACAAGCTGGATAAAATCTGTTGCTGTTCCACCTGCTGCAACGGTTCCTTTCAGAATAAAAGCTGAACTTACTGACCTTCTGGATCCATCTGACGCTGTCAACCAACTGTTGCTTTTTACCTGGAGACAATCCAAAGACTAGTCTGTCGTACTGCTGACGCCGTTTCATCAGCTCCGGTACCGAAAGAGGGGTTCGAGAACCTGGCGTTGTGGATCTGTAAGGAGGTCTCATTCTAAGGGTATGTGTGGAGCGACAACATGGCGTTGTATGTTTATGAATCTCCTAACCAAAGCTTAGCGCAAAGTCATCACCTTCACTTCCCACCAGAACTAATCGTTTCTTCGGATTTGCTGGTTCTGAGCAACGTTCCACACTACACCATTCTCCGTCTCATCCACCTTAGTTACACCATACATTTAGTGTTAAAGTCAGCCTAGTTTAATTTGTTTTGTAATAAATCTTTAAACTTTTAAACTTGACTCTCTCTCTCTTCTGTTGTCTCTGAGTGAATACGAGGTTGTTATCTAATCCCTGCATTAAAAAGGTCCAATCTTCTGGTTAAAAGTACCCACAGATCCGTAAGGTTGATTTCATATTAACTATGGAATCTCATGGCTCTTTAAATAGATGAAATTATTTCATTGCACCACTTCAGCAGACCTGATTTACATTGCCTCCTCAAGACGACATCAAGCGCTGCAGATGCCTGTTAATCACTCATTAATTTAAACCAGGTGTGTGGCTGCAGGTGTTTAAAAGGGCAACATGGAAAACATGCAGGACAGTGTGCCTTGAGGACCAGGGTTGGGAAGCACTGGATTAGATGTTTAGACTTCCCAACAGTATTCAGGAAGAAACAACTATTAAACAATGTCAGGAGCCTCAGGAGAAGGTGAAGGATCTGCACGCCATCACAAAAGTTTAGGTCCTCCTCCTCAATCTGGTCGTCAGCTTGGCTCTACCTCCTCATGCTGGCCATCTGTTCCAGAGGAACACCATTCCGTTCCTTCACATGCTGAAGGTCAAAGAGCACCTTAGAGCATTCAGAAGGACCGAGCTGTCAGTCTGTAACCAATCAGGAGCCACACTTGGGACCGGAACACACCTGGCTCAGAATAGCTCAGAACACTGAATGTAGTCAAAGCTGCCCTGGAGCGGCACCACCGATCCCTCCAACCGCCACCAGCAGGCAACGGGGTCTTGCCCACGGACACAACAGCAGCCATCTCTGGCAAGAGCCAGGATTGAACCTACAACCTTCCGCTTACTGGACAACCTGCTGCCCAGAAATCATGATAGTCATCATTCACTTCTAAGCAAACAGCCTCCCACCTTTTTCCTACAGACGTGCCAAAGGTACAAGAGGAAACTGGAGTTAGAATCCTTGCTTTGGAACACATTAGTCCAAATTAATAGGATTCTGTTTTGGACTATTGAGAGAAAAAACAACCTCCTACTGAATAAATGTGTTTTATTTTTCATCATCAATCAGAAACAAGATTTACTCACTTCTAATAATAGATAAAAAGACTTTAAGATTACACTTATTGTTCCTGCACTCCTGCTGGGATTCATCACAACCATCAGAGCTGCTCCATCATCACAGCTTTAACTAAGAGGAAACAGCGATCATTAGGACAGGAATTATTCAGCCGAGGTCATGCTGTTCAGCTGTGCTTCATCTACCTCTGACTGTGCTAATGACAGCTCATAACCAGCCCAGAACAAGTAGGCTGCTCAGGGCTTAATTGAATAAAACATGTTTAATTGTCAGTGGGAGCATGATAAGCAAGGTCCTGCACACACGAAGCAGTCCGGAACGACAACCCCAACACTCTGGGAGAGCTGCGTTTGGCCTTGGTTTGCAAAAAGGGCTCTCACAAAGAAACGGAGCTAAACTCCAGCTTCTGTTTCTGCTCTAAAGCTGGAAATTAATCATATAATTCCAATCAAATCAATCTTAAAAGCATCAGACACTGCAGACAGGTTTATTAACACGTTCAGGAGGATTGTGTGGCAGCATTTTATTTTGGGTCACATGGGTTGTAATTAGATAGGAAAAGTAATCATATTTAGCTAATGTTAATGTTAGGTGATCATGTTTAATGTTTTACTAAAACATCTATGGTTTGAATTCCTCTGTCACGTGGAGGAGATGTTTAGGACCCAAAACGCAGATTACCCTGGCGACAGGAGGCAGAAGTTGATTCAAAGTAAAAATGCTTTTATTTACAGGATGAAGGAACAAAAATTAATCGAAGAGGCAGCGAGCCAAAAGTCCAAAAGTCCTGGAGCACAGGACACCCGAAGCTCTCTTAGAGCACCAAAAACCTAGAGACAAGAAGCTCAGACAGAGCTCGAACACACGCTGACAACAACACAGAGACAAGACAGGGCTTATATAGACTGGGAAGATGAGAGGGAGATGATTGCAGGTGTGTGGGGAGAGGGACCAGGTGAACACAATTACTAACTCAGGGAGGAGGAAGAAAACACTGGTGGGAAAAACACACTAAAGGCTGTAAGAAAGGAAAATGACCTGAGAGAAAAACAAAAGACCAGAAGGCATGAACCATAACTATTCTAAGGGGAAGCTAACACTAAAGGAAAACACCACAGACAGAAACTACAGGGGCGTGGCTAAGAGGGGGCCAAGAGAGCACAGGACCTGGGAGAGGGAAGTCTGAGGAGGGGAACCTAGAGGGCAAATGGGGAACAGCAGGAGACACATGAGGAAGACGCAGACACAGACCATGATATTCTCAAGTTTTGTTGTTTTTTTCTTTGTTCATTTAAAGCTACAATAGCAAATCGGCAAAACAAGAGTTATGTTTATGTTTATTTATTTAGCAGATGCTTTTATCCAAAGCGACTTACAGTTTATAACCTGTAGGGCGTGTTG